CTTAACTAAATCTTCTAAAAGTTGGTGCTTGCATAAATATTTAATAAGTATGCAATAATTCACATTCAGACTTCAATGTTTTGAATCCTTATAAGGATTCAAAGGCAATGCAGTGAGAAACCCCCAAAAGGCAGTCATATTCCACCAACACAAGAATAACTTATAATATATGGCTACATAACAATTTCAAATTGCTTGAGCCATGAATAAAAATGTAGAATCTGGGGAGACAAGTAGGCATAACTGATAGAATTGAGATATTTATGGTAATAAAATATTACCTTTGGTAACACCAATTTTCCATGAACTGAGAAGCTAATTCAACAGCATCCTTCTCTATCCCTCGAGAACCAGAAACAAGACCTTCATCTTGTTTGGTTAGCATGTTCTGCAATGCATGGCCAAACTCATGGAAGACAGTCTCAACCTGATTATAGCAATCAACCAATGTGAAGATCATGAAACCGAAATGGCAAAATCTGCAGAACAGTTGCAGCTTATATGACTCCTCAGAAAATTGCAAACCTTCCAGTGATCAAATAAATAGATATAATCATATAGATATTAAAAAATAATAATAACTGTCTCGGTTATTAAAACCAATACTTAAAACATTCCTCAAAATCAGAAATAGTAACCATTGGGAAAGAGGCTAGTGCTAAAATATACCTCACGAATGGTCATAAGGCTTGGCTTGTCTCCCACCGGTGGAGTTTGATTGCACACAACATGGCAAATAGGCAACCTGGAAGATGTACCATCACACAAAATACGGCTCCGACCAGCAACGATGTCCATCCATGCCCCCCCACGTTTTTCCAGTGGACGAGAATATGGATCAAAATAGAAGTAAGCTATTGGAATGCCTAAGCAATTTTTGACACAGTAAAATCTGACATCTTTGTTCCAAACCTGGAAGGAATGAACCGTATATTGATAGGATGAGGTTTGTTTGATATCATCACTAGCAGAAAGAAGCGAGAAAATGAAGAAGGTAGATAAATATTACTGAAGCTATGCCATCAGCTGGGTCAATCTCAATATCAAAGAGCATCTTTGACAGGTTGAAAAGACCATCTATAACCACCGGGAGTGAGAAATAAGGACGTAATTCTTCCTGTAGAAATGAGATGCAGCAGGAAAGGAAATTAAACTTCTCCACACAAAAGTATATCCATAGAGGTTAAAGGTTAAAATTAAAATTAAAAAAAAAAAAAAAGAAAACGAAAAGAGAGAGAGAGAGAGAGAATAAAAAGTAAAAAAAAGTAATTGTCAATGCTTGGCACATATTACTCTCTTATGCTGTCAGCATTTTGATGCCCAATATAGCCTGTGTTGATTTTGCTAACCTCATCCAAATTTCATGCCTGTGGAGTTTATTCCCCTTTTGCAATTCACTTGATATTCATGTTACTACTGTAAGACATATTGAGAGAGGGCCTACCTCATTTAAGTTATAACTTGTCTCTCGAAGTCTCTCACTCCAGAAATTAATGTCCCAGTGGGTCAATTCTTCAGATTCTACAGCGCCTTTACTTTTGGCAAAATCTTTGAGCTCCTGCATGTCTTTGATAATTGAAAGAACAACCAGGAAAAAAAAAATTAATAAAGAGGTTGTTAGGGAAAACTTTCTTTTCTGGTCATGAACAATTCTATAACTAGAGCATCAACCAGAGAGCATCCAACAACATTCTTCACTCTGATTTTTTCTTTCAGAACATAAATGACACTGAAAGGAATAGTCACTTGTCCTCGCATAAGCAGCATATATTTCAGTGTTAACAGTGAAATCTTTACCAAAAAGAAAATCGAGTCATCCATCAATAATGTTTATGAATTTTTCCTGAAGATAATACTAAAATGCAACAATTTAATCAAAATTCACTTTATGCAGTGTGTCTTAAATTCATACTAGCAATTGCTTTGGACTTCATGAAGGAAACAAAGAATAAATTTATATGTAGGACTATATGGGTGATACAAAAAATAATTACATAGCATCTACCTTGAATTGCAGCATTCCAAGAAGCACTTCGAAGCTTTTCTATAAGCTCTTCTGCTTTCTCTATTGTAGCCATTTTTGCATCCATGCTTACCTGGAATATATAGCCATAAGCTTCAAAAAAAGGAGTATTGCCAAAATTTCGTATCTACCATACCTCAGCATAGTTATTGTAGCCTAGAAGCTTTGCCTTCTCGAGCCTAAGCTGAAGAATTCGTTCAATAATTGGTGTGTTGTTGAGATCTCCATCAGAGGCACGGGTCACATAAGCACGAAAAATTTCCTCACGCAATGAGCGATTGCAAACATGTTGCAAAACAGAGCGATAGATTGGACCATCCAATGTAAGAACCCATGGCCCATCTTCAGCCGTGGCTTGTTCGTATCCCTGCTATGATCAAGGAAACTTGCTAAACCATAATAGGGAATGAAGGCAACCAATTGGAGTTTGTGAAATAACTAAACAAATTACGGTAAATGTGCCACTGTAAACATGGTATTTGCATTTTTTTCCTTAGCAAGAATTCTGTATATGAGCTTGAACATGCAATACCTTGTACACTGCCGTTTGTGCAGCCACAGCAAGTGCAGTAGCAGGCAAACCTTCAATGTCTTTCTTTTCTGTGATCAACTTTTCAAACTTCTTTGTGGCATCCAAAATATTCTCCTCAAACTTCTGCCCTAGTTTTTCCAATTCCTGCGAATTACCACAAAATGTTATCAATGACTTCTTCCTCACTTTTATCCCCCTTCCTTTTCCACTCATTAGAGTCTTACCTGCTGAATTTTGTTAAAACATACTCTTTTATCATCTTCAAGAGAAATACCATTAAGAACTGCTTCCTTTATTTGGCCTACACAAGCAGATATTCCCAATTATGGGAACAAATATCAATAACTGCAAATCTGCAGTTCTAACAATAAATTTACTATAATCAAACATATGCTTGTGCAAAACTAATTCAGCTGATCAATTATGAAATAAAGCATCAAGATAAACATAAAATGGCAATTACTCTTATGGAAACACCATGTGTCAGGCTTAATTTGCAAGCATGTGAATAAGGAAAATGACTATATCTGTAATAGATATAGCAATATCTGGCTAATGTAGGAGCATCTTAAACTCATGCAAAAAACAAAGAACTTCATCAATCAGATTTTAGTTTAATCCTTAATTAAAATTGATGATTTCCTCTTCTTTTTGTGCCTTTTTTTTATTTTTTATCTTTTAATCAATTGCTAGTGCGCAGACCAAAAGCAGAATAAATAGTTTGTTAGCAAGTTGCTAGGTTTCTTGATAAAGAGGTGGTTGAAGGATCCGAGTTGCAGAGGAGTCAAGTGCCATCAATACGTGTGACCTTTAAGTAAAAATTGGTGGGTAAAGTTGGTGGCATTTAAGAGTAGTAGACAATGGTGACGTATCAGTGGTGCTTGTAGCATAGTATATATAGTATATACCGAAATATTTATTGGAATTTGGTCTTTTGTTAGTCTCAGAAGAAAGAAAAAAAAAGACTGAGACTGCATTCTTCAACTTATTTAAAAATCTTCAAGTTTGATATGTTAGGTTCTAGTTAGATCCTACGTGGTATAACTGTAGGCATCATATATCGACTCATTTATTTACTTGCATAGATTAGTTGCTGTTTGAATTCAACTCTGCGCAACCAAAATGCAATCAAAGAGAAAACATCTCTTGCTACCCATATCTTGGATCACTAATTATTCAAACATCAAATTCACAGCATTGTCCAGTAACCACATATAGTCAAGCATGAGTTCTGTGTATTGCAAAAAAAAAAACACTGACCTTCCACTACTCGTTTACGGGCATCACTCAATGTTTCCCAATCTGAAGATTCTCGGATTGTTTTAAATGCATTATAAATGGGTTTGCTCTGGCCCAACCTTAGCTGAAACTCAACCTTCTCTGGCTGCAAAACAAGCAAAGAGCATTGCAGTAACATTGTCAGCACTAACTCAACAGCACCATCTTCAAGTCATCTAAAGAGTAAAGAAAAGGCACCTGAACTTCTGTGATGGCAGAACGGAGTTCAGGAGAGTCCTTGACAGCATTCAGATGATTCACAATCCCCCAAACAATCCATAGTCGGTCTAGGATCTTCTCCAACGGCTCAACCAACTTTGGCCATGTGGGTTCCACTGTAGTCTCCAATTTAACCAAATCACTCTCCTACAACTCCACCCATCGAGCAAGGATCTTCTAGAGTGATTTTTTCCTAAAGTTTCCTAGAGTGCTACATTGTGTGGTTGAGATTTACTGGCAAGTCACATCAATTTTCTGATGTGACTTGCCAGTAAATCTCAACCACACAATGTAGCACTCTAGGAAACTTTAGGAAAAAATCACTCTAGATAAAGCATACATACAGATCATTTGGTGTGAACTTTTTCTGAAACTTCGTCGTGCTTCTTATTTTTGTTTTTCAAGAATATAATTGTTAATTTAAAACAAGACATCCAATAAATAACTGTTAAACATTTTTTAAATTTAACCCATCTTCCTGATTGTCAAACCACCCAAAAGTTTAGATGTAAAACTGCCAAGTATCATGTTTTGCAATCACAACTAGTATATATCTTTACAATTTATCTATCTACCTGTTCTTTCTATTATATACGTAAAGGGCTAAGTTCGTGTTGACACTTTTGTGTCACATGATTTTTATTCCCAAATTACCCTTCTCTGACTAAGAATTGAATCACAAGTTTTTCGATAACTACCTATTCAATCTATAAAGGCCAATTTCAACCCACAAGGAAATTTCAAGCACACCCATGTAGGTGTGCACAACCTCTAGTACTATTATAAAGCCATCACTGTTGTTGGTGTTTATGCCATATTTCTTCTTCTTTTTTTTTTTCCTCATAAAAAAAAAAGGAAAGAAAGAAAGAAAGAATTCTCAATTATCTCTCCATATAATTCGGTAAATTTAAAACTATACAAATAAATGCTAAATGGTTTTTGAATTCAACCCATCTTACTAGTTATCAAGCTGCCCAAAAGTTCATCTATAACACACAACTAGTATATATTTATACTATTTATCATTATTATTATTATTATTATATAAAGCACATGACTCACCTAGTATTGAACAACTTTGTTACACAATTTTGATTTCTAAAATATGTATGTATGCTTCGTTATATATACCAATAACTATCATCCATTACCCAGTATATATAAATATATATATGTATGCTTCGTTATATATATATATATATATATATCAGTGAGAAAATTTGAATCAAGGAGTATGAAATTGAACTTACGAGTTGGTTCAACAAAGATCGGATTGCGGGGCGAACATGTTTGGCTTCGATAACATCATAAGGAGGGAAAATGAAATTCCCCAATAAAGGATTCTCTTCCAATGCCATTCAGATAGGCTAGTTCTTTAAGCGAATTTGGAAGATGCGTGAGTAGATGATACAGGTGATCCATTACAGGACAAAATACCAAGAAAAATGTGTCAAGCTCGAAAAATGATCTGGTTGACTTTCAATCAATTCAATACAAAAATGGCAAATTACACCTTGCTCCCCTCAATTATCACCATTTTTTATTTTTATCTCCCAAACTAAAACTTGATAGTTCAATTTATGCCCTTTATCTTTTGAAAATTTTCAATATAACTCTAATATTTTCATTCTATTAACAAAATTGACAAAAAAATGTGCATTCATGTCATATTTATGACAGATAAATCTAACATATGCACATTATATACACATTTTTTGTATGTTTTCTAAAACAAATATAGACATAAAAGTTAGATTGGAAACTTTCAAAAATAAAAAAAAGGTATATTATATCAATTTTTAGTTTAAGGAGATAAAATAAAAAATGATGATAGTTGAAGGGAGTAAAGTCTAATCTGCCCAAAGAAAAATGCAATAAAGAACCAATACAAAAACTGATCAACTTCACTTTAATGAATTCGCCCGACAATGTAGATAGACTAAAGGGCATTATTTAATGTAAAATCTATGTCAAGCTTTTAAACAGGTCGAACCGGACTATGTGAGATTAGGCATGAGCTTTGTGTTTGAAATCGGACTATGTGAACCGGCCTACTAACTAGTGATAGATGGGAAAATTGCAAATAATGAGTAACTTCATAAAATATTTACAATTTTGTACAAACATTTTGTATAATAATTTTTATTATTAGAGTTAGTAAAATTTACCACTAATTTAAAATTATTTTTGAAAAATATACTAATTTGTAAATTCCCCATTAAGGATTGTTTGTTAGGTCAGTTTGGGCCAACCTGTACAAAGCAATCATTGCTCCTCACAAAAATATTGTTAGGCCTACTTCACGGGTATACTTGAACTCCACCTCAACAGATTGCCTCGGCTTGACTTGATGACATGAAAGTGGAGCCCAAGCCTACCCATAAACTAAGCTCAAATTTTTTTTATACTCAAACTCGTACTAGGCAAACTAGTGTGATAATTTTAGACTTAACCTTGTCTAACGGCCTCATGGGTCAAAATACAATATAGTCTTCTATTTAAATTTATATTAAAATTATTTATTTGTTTTTGACTGAATAGAATAGACTCAAAAGTTAACACAAATTATTTTTGAAAGTAATTTTTATGACTCTCAAATTTATTATTCTTCTAGTAGTGAAGTTTTTATTCAAATTTATGTTTAAGTATTGGCTTTATCCATTGTGTGGTTTAATGTTAAACAACAATTTTTGGGCCTATTTATTTTAGTTTGAAAGTAAAAGGATTATACTAATAATTCATAGATTTTATATAAATTATGTTTATTTTCGAATAACGTGATAAAATTTAACAATTTTATGAAACTACAAATCCCTTCAAAGAGTCCACTAGAGTTGAGTTTCACAATCTAATCGCATAAATTTAGAAGTAAAAAATTATTATATCTTAACTCTAAAAATATATATATTTGATATAATCAGAACTTTATTTAAATATATAAATAAATATATTTGTAACAAACTAACATTGTAACAATCCTGACTCATTATTAACGGATAATCCATGATTAAGTATATCTAATATGTAATTGAGATGAAATTTTGAATTAACTGCATGTGTGTTGCATTATTTGTATTCATATCTATCTATCGTAGAAAAATTTGTTCATGTTTTTGTTTTGTTCTGCGAATTAAAGGCCTTATCGGCATCCGATCACGGAAGTGACTAGATTTTTATGTTATTTGGGATTTTTAGAATTTTATGGTGGGTTTAATTGAAATTCGATTCGGAACGATTAAATTAGAATAATTAGTGTCCATTTGATTAGTTTTAATTAAACTCTCTAATCAAGCCTATATAAGGCTCCTATATGCCTCAACTCATCTCTTCTCTTCATTACATCTTTAAGCCTACACAAACAAGCAAAATGTGAGAGGGAGGAAGAAGAGACTAAGAGGGGTGTGAGATCAAACTTGAGATAGGAAGGAATTTGCTAGAGAATTAAGAGAATTGGCTTGGAAGCTCAAAAATATAGCAAGCTAGAGTCTAAATCAAGAGTGAGCTAAGGATTTAAGCTTTTACTTGTGCAGTTGAGACATAATACATGAATTCAAGAGGAATTAAAACAAGAATTAAGCTAGGGAAGGAGATTTAAGAAGATTACCATACATGTATGCAAATTCTCTTGCATTTAGAGTTGGATTTTGAAGAATTTTCACAAGCATGCATTGATCATAGCTTGATTTTGGAAAGTCATCAAGTTTCATACCATTTTACCTTGTTTGATCATATTTTGAAAGCTTTGAAGTCAAGAAATTATTCACATGTTATGTTTCCAACATTTCAAGTTTAAGTGTGCACAATTGGCAAGCTTTTGAGCCTTGATTTCATGAAATGATGTTTAATTCTCATTGTTTTACAAGTTTATACATGTTTCTCAAGCTTTTGGTCCAAAAAGATGTGTTTTGTAGCTTTGAACTTGGAAGAGCAATCTAAAAATTTTAGATTCTGCCTCTCCGCTCGAGCAACAAAACTTGCGTTCGAGCAACCACACACATTTTTTTGTACTTTCACTTGAGCGACTAAAAGTTGGCTCGAGCGTAAATTGCATGCTCTCAGAAGTTTACATGTTTTGCAGACCGCTTGAGCGACAAGAGTTGAGCTCGAGCGAGGACCCCAGTCTCACGCTCGAGCGACCGTCGAGCAGAAAGATCAAGCAACCAGTACTTTTGTAAAGTTTACAAACCGCTCAAGCGACCACTCACATGTCTGGACATCTGTTCGAGCGAAGGAAGTTGCGCTCGAGCGAGACCCCTGTTTCTAGCATATTTGACTAAGTGTTTTCAAGTACATTTTAGTATCCTCATTGCATCCTAGGCATTCTTAAGCCAAGATTAAGACATAATAATGAGGATAAGATTTAGAAACACACTAAGAATGAAACGTAATGAGTTAAGTATATTCTGAGCGTGTATTTCAATGTGTATCTGCTATGTGTTTGTGTAGGTCACGCGCCATAGACTATCTGAGTCACCCTCTTTCTCTATTTTGCTATCAGAGTCATCTGTAAGTAATAACTCTGTAAAGTTATGTTTAACTTTAATTATTTTATGATGATATGAAATGATCAGTTTTCTGAAATACTATGTTTTGTGTGAATGAATGATTGTCCAAGTTTCTGAAATGTATTCGCGGCATCCTTAGTATCATATGATATATATCCCTTTATGGTTCATCGGAATGCCTCTATGGCCGTCCCTTATGGGTCATTGGAAACGTCTCTGTGCACATGAGTCATCGGAATGCCTTATGGCTGTCCCTTTATGGGTCATCGGATTTGTTAACGCTAATGGATGTACCACGCACTATCATGTGAAATGTATGAACTGTGAAGACGAATATGATTATGTATACGAATCTGTTTTTGCTTTGACATCTGATTATGTACAAGACTCTGTTTCTGTATGGACATCATTCAGTAAAACCTTTACTCTGTTATTATTCATTGGACTTTTGCTTAATGTTTTGAAAATTGAATCGGTGAGCGAATCGGAAAAGGGACCGGGTGGACGGGTCACCAGTTCAACCGCCAAGTCAAAGCGGTCAAACTATGACATCATAATTACATCATAAATATATTTAAAAATATATATATTAAAAATATAAATATAAAAATGAAAAAATAATTAAATTTAACAAAATAATAGAATTTTCAAATATCACTCACAATGAAATTGTAATTTGCAATAATAATGTGACAAACCTTATTTTTATTTGTTGAAGACCTTTCTCTAAACGGGTTGTGCAACACTTTTGACAAGGAAAAATCACTACACAATCTATACATATATCAAAGTTAGAAAATAAAACATATAAATACAATCATAATAATGAAAGTAATAAAAGCATTACACTAAAAGTAATTAATATTACATATTAGTCAAATAAAAACACAAACATAATCAAATCAAAATACTATTGTTTACTATATCAATTAAGAGTCAAATGTCAAACACAAACATAAACCAAGCATAGAGATAAGATTTATAGTTCCAAATCTTAAAACACACCAATGAGCATCCATCATTCCTAAATGAGAGTAGATAAATAAATATAAAACAAAAGGTCAAAACCAATCCATTACAAACACATCATGCCATAAAAACATTGTTTTTTTGCCTAATTCCTTGGGAAGCCCTCCGTTAGCCAAGCATTGTCATCCTCATTTTGATTGTTGCTTGTGCCAACTTCACCACTTTGAGCATTAGATCTATCATCCACGTTGACAGCACCAAATGATCTAAGGTCAATATCATCTCCAACCTCTAAGACCACATCATCCTTGTCATCTTTTACAATAGTTACAACAGAATTAATAAGTAATCAATTTAATAATAACAAAAACGTTGTTATATAATAATGAAATAATTAATTACTAACCATCACGTAGACCATGACATTGCCTCTTATTTTGTGGAGCCGAACTTTCTTCATAAAGCATTTGTTTCAACTCATCAAAATCAAGAAGAGGAGGCTCTTCTTCATCTTCAACAATCCAAAACTCGATTTTGTCAATACTTTCAATGTCAACCGGATCATAGTTCTTCATTTTGTTGAAATGCCTATAATTTTCACTTAAAAGTAAGACTATTTGAATAAATATTCTATTAGTAAATGCATGACAAGGTAAATGGTTTATTTACCTATTCTTCAACTGCAAATTATAATGAATGTATACAAGATCATTAAGCCTTTGATGTTCCAATCTATTCATCTTCTTTGTATGTATACGTTCAAAAACACTCCAATTCCTTTCACATCTAGAAGAGCAACTAGTTTGGCTAAGAATTCGAATAGCCAACTTTTGCAAATTCGGTGCACTCTAGCCAAATAACCTCCACCATTCATCTTATTATTAAAAGAAAACAAGAAATAAATAAATTAGATCTAATATTACACTTAACGAATTATTAAGCAATCGCAATGAAAAACTCAATAATTTTACCTGGTTGTG